TTTTTACGAATACTTTTTTCACCAGTTAGAATTAAAAAAATGCATTAATTTCTGTCAGAATAAGAATTAATTAAGTTTATTATTATTTTTTAATAGTATGTGTCTTTATACATAAAATGTGCCGAGATTTGTTTTATTTAAGGCTTTTACATTTATAAAAATACAATTTTTCAAGTGTACGAATATTTATTTCCCCCCACTGTATATAATAAATGCGAATGTCAGTGTGTCACTGTGTCATACTTTTTCAACTTTACTTCGAGAGGTCGTAGACCAACATATCATGCCATTTTGGGATCAGGCCGACTCTGTGAGCAAATTAAAAACATTCCGGGCCCCGGATTCGGAAACGCAATCCTCAAATTTAGTATTCCCAAAATTTCATTACTGCGACGATTGTTTTCGGCGACTTCTTACAATATTTTTTTTTTTTTGTACGATAACAATTTTTATAACTTGGAAATAAATATGAGAATAACCGAAATTAATTGCGAAATCCAGTGAAAGTCACCCATGATATAAAATAACTGTTTGTACGGAAAGGCATTTAAGCTAGTAGATATAGCTATATATATATATATATATATATATATATATATATATATATATATATATATATATATATATATAGTCATCCACAGATCGACTGTTTCGTTGTATCACAGCTCTTCAGTGTGGCTAGACGTCCGATTGCTTCAACAGACCCGACTGATTTGACATCAGTCAGAGAGCTTACCGCTAGGCCATCGTCGCACGGCAGAAAGGAAGGGAATTTTAACGTTTTTTCTTTATACGCCAGCGGCTCCGAAAACTCAATTCATACTTGAAGAGTAATGCTTAATCCTTGTTGACAGCGGCTACAGATCTTCTGAAATTAAATATAGGGAAAATTATAGTTACGTTAAAAAAAATCTATAGAGAAAGGAGAATAATTTGGTGTACATCTCCTTTCAACAAATTAGTCCGTACCAAATTTGACACAAATTTTTCAACTTAATTAACAAACGCTTTCCTAAGAAGAGTAAATTAAGTCAAATCTTCAAGCGCAATAACCTAAAAGTTAGTTATAGCTGTTCTAGGAATCTAGATAAAATTATTAAATCACACAATAGAATACTGAAACTTCATAACGAGAATAAACACAACCCAAACACAAATTCTAATACACCCCAATTAACAGATCTATTTAATTGCAGAATCCCCAATCAATACCCATTATCAAACAGGTGCTTAACGAAATCCATTGTATATATATATATACTATATCTCAACAAATGAGAACCCCAAGGATATTAAATTGTATGTGGGATGAACTAGAAGACGTTTTAAGGATCGATATTACAATCACATATCCTCCTTTACAAATGCAGGCAAGCGCAATATGACATCACTTTCTAAATATTTTGAAAACTGGAGGAGAAATGAAAAACACTTAAGGTTAAATGGAAAATCCCAAAACAAGCCAGAACTTGCAAATCTTTGAACGAACCTTGTTTTTTATGTTTGCTGAAAAAATATGTATTATTAAACTTTGAACAACACTCAATTATTAAATCAAAGATATGAAACCACATTTTTTTAGGCATATTAAAGATCTAACATTACAATCTTGCATAATTCTAAACGTTTAAAATTATAACTCCCTTGATATACTTTCTACCCTCTCATATACCTCTCCACTAATCTATCTTAGATTATGATTCTTAAAATACTTTTTGCGCTTATATATTACTAGTAATGCTTTCAGATAAATTGATTTACACTCACATTTATTCTACACGTTATACAGTACAACAATAGGTCAAAATTTGTTTATAAACTTTATATTAATATTCTATACTTTTATATACCTTTCTACTTATATCTTAATTTCTAAATTAAAACTTATTGTTTTTTTTTTAATGAAAAAACGAATAACTTATGTATTCAACATACCAAGAAGAAATATCTACCTTTTAATTTATTCATTTACAAAATACTTACTTTGATTACAAAACTAGTAGTGATAACTCCAACCTAAGTATATGTAATCCAGTTCTGGTTTAGTTTTTTTTTTTTAAATAACCAAAAAACATTCCCAATTACTACTATAACTATCACCTGAATTTATCCCTCCTTCCTCTTTCATCGTATTAATAGCATTTATTCCCACCTTTCCTCCCCCATTCCTAACTCTTAGAAGACTTGGAAATGCTGTGCCTAAACCCTGGACCGTTGTTGTCGAAAAATTTTGTTTTCAGATCTAGCCATTTCTTTATCACCTCAACCATCCTTCACGAAACTGCTATCAACAACCACTATTGTTTCACTCGGTCACCTTTTTTGCCTTTATGTATTTTTTTCAAATAAATGGGAAACTGGAAAAAAGGAGGTGACGATTCACATGCAGCTTGCTTACAAACAGAATTGCTCATAACCATTTTGGTTCTCACCAGTCGAAGTGCAATTTAAATCCACTGAAACGAAGTTGCATCTTTGTAGTGAGTAAATTGTATATATGAAAAAATTATAATAAATAATTATTGCTCTACTATCGGTATTGAGCCGTCTTTTGAATTAATACTGTGGACGTCAGAATTTATATATTATCTTCGTTTTCATTACATTCGGATATATATATATATATATAGTAAGTAAACTAAGTACAAGTAATATATATATATATATATATATATATATTACTTGTACTTAGTTTACTTACTTTCGTCTACCAACCTCAATATTCGAAAAGAACCTTAAATAAAAAATATGCACCATCCGGTAGGATTCGAACCTGAGTCTGTTGGATTAATAATAATAATCTATTACTTCTTTAGAAATTGTTTTGTTTACACTTGGATACGAAACTGAGCAGATATGAAGTTTCGAAAATCTGGAACGAGAAAGATTTATACTTAAATGCAGTATTCGGTCTTGACTTGCACTTCGTGGCCGAGTCGTTTGAATGCACGTTGGATCTTACGACGGTTTCTTCTATAAAGGTGGACGCAAGTTCGAATCCAGTCAAGGAACGCATTTATTTAATAAGATTTCTCCAATATTCAGGCTAACAGACGAAAATAAATGTACTGTTTAAAATAAATGGCGGGTCTACTCAAATATGGGCATCCTCTAAAAATAATCTTTAAAGCTATAAAATCTGTCGGATTTTTATATAAAGAGAATCCATTACTTCTGTCACTTTCTCGATCTCTGTTTTTGTGTGTGTGTATATATATATATATATATATATATGTGTGTGTGTGTGTGTGTGTGTGTGTGTAAGGGGTAATAAAAAGATAACTGTCAAATTAGACTAATTTCAGTTCTAATCAAGAGAACATTTTTATATAAAGGCTTCCTGCTTAAATATTTTTTTTATTCCTATTTCAAGCTATTTAATTTAAATTTTGTGTTGTATATGATTTGGAATGGACAAGAAAAAGATGAAAAAGCATTGAAAATGATGAATAGTCATCAGGCAGTTTTACCAAAACTTGCTCGAATTAATGCATTTGCGCATTTGTGTCGGTCGACATCTACGGTCTATGTTTCATGTAAAACTGCAAAGCGAAACGACATCATTGCCGTTATTAAAATCGAAATTACCTTCGAGATTTACAAGCTGGCTTTAAAAAAGTTAAAATTCGAAAGTAACTATTAAGAATTTTAATCTATAGATTAAGAAAAGACGGGACACTAATGGCAGCCTTCTGTGCTGCAATTACAAATAATTCACGCAGAGATAATTGGCAGTGTTTGAAATTATTCGTTGTTTGTGCAAAGAAAATGATACACGGTAGAAATTTGGTATTTATATAAACCTCACGAAGCTATAATTAAGAGGCAATTGTTCCTGCTGTTTGTGTTATAATGCTTGTTATAATTTTACTATCGTTTCTCTTATTAGTATCATAATGATACTTCTTCTTAGTATCTTAATGAATGCTTCTACCATTGTTATTGTTATCAATGTTGTTGATACTTCTATTGTTATAATATTTTATTACTATTCAAATAATAATAATTGCTTTTTTGTTGTTATTACTATCGTTGGTTTTATTTTTGTTATTCAGTAATGTGTTGCTCATTAATCGTATATTAACATATCTCCAAAATCTAAAAGAAATCCATTGCACGCAACCTTAATAATAACCTTTCTGCTCGTTTAACACGTGAATCAGGAAGTGGGAATGCAAAAAAAAATCGATTTTCATTCGCTAAAGATAGGATTTTCTTTCCGTCTCTCGCAAATAAGTTTATTCAAGTGGAAATACGCCAAAGATATATCCCGGGCAAACGAAAGTACGCAATACACTTTTGAATACACAAACCAAAATAATATAGCAATATATGGTGGAGTAATGAATTGATTGAGGAATCGGAGAGCTGAGTTCGAATTCCAATCGAATCCATTATATTCACTTACGAATGAATCCACTTCTTCTCTTCAGCTATGGGTAAGACCGGGTTCTATAACTTTGGATAGCAACTGGTCTACAGCAGAAAGGAATGCTAACTTATTGCTGGAAAAAAAATTCTGCCTGGTCAGTCATATATCGAAAGATCGCCTAAGTGTGTATCACACATGGCACATAACCGACTGAACTGGACTTCATTTGATGGAACCCTGCTATTCTCACGGACAGCTCTATGTTCAATACTACTGTACTGTACTGATGCGGCATTCACCCTGGGCGGATTGAGCCGGCTTCTTCCTGTTATGAGAAGAAGATTCTTGGGATAAATTACAGAAGTAGAGTACCCAGGCCTACTCGAATAACGTTCTTGCTTGCCGCGGGATTCTCACAGACGCAGAGACAGGAACGACCAGAAGCCGCCGGTTACCGATGCAGACGCTCCTTGGATTTTCACCAGAGCCCTTGTTAGCCGGCGTGTGTGTCAGACCTGTCCGCCTTGGGTGGCCCTACCAGGAACGAAGTTCCGGGCGGCATAGCTCTGACACTACCGTTTACACCCCACCCCCCACCGACTGTGAGGTAAGGGTTGGACTTTGGGGGCTTACAGTACCAGGTGTTCCCAAGCGGTCCCCCATCTAAGTACTGACCTGGCTCTACGATGCTTAACTTCGGTGATCGAACGAGAACTGGTGTTTCAGCGTGATTTGACCCGTATGTTCAATGGGTGGGAATAGAAACAAGCTATTTGTACTGACCCCTAATGGGATTTTTTTTTATTTTAATTTTCATTATACTACTATAATCCATAACATTCACTTACGTGCTAATACTTTTGGGAAAGGTATGATGAATCCTCTTTTTCTCTTCCCAGCTATGGGTAAATAGCAGGACAGACCGGGTTCTATAGCCTGGGATATCAACTGGACTACCGCAGAAAGAAATGGCAACCTACCGCGGAAAAAAATATCTGCCTCGTCAGTCATGTATCGAAAGATACATGATCGCCTAAGCGTATATCACGTATGGCACATCGCTGACTGACATTTTCTTATTTTATCTTATGCATTCTTTAAAAATCATGTCCTTTCAAGACGTAGACGATCATGGCTCTCCACTTGTCCCTTTATTTATTATTTATGAATTACCATGATTTATTGGGAAAGAGAATGGAGTAGCTTCACTCTGCTTTTTCCACGGTTTTAAACTCAGGGTTTGTGTTTATTTTGTTTTGCGACATGTCAACCGCAATTTTTAGAATAGATTCGTTTATTTGTTTGTTTGTTTTTTTAGCGGCACATCAAATCCCCATGGGTTACTCTATGCCGAAATTTAATTTTCTTGAGAGCATTAGTAATTTCTTTTACAAAAATAGATATAATATTTTTTTCTTTAATAAATTGCTGGTATTTTTATACTTTCATAGTGTTTTGACCCTAGTTTGGGAATTCGCCAATAGCTGGCATCCTAGCAGATGCTACCACCCCTTCAGAGTTTGCTTTCACCTATACGGATTGCTACCTAAAGCTAGAGAGTGCGGTATAGCTTGCTATTTAACCCATAGCTGGGAACAGAAAAGATAGATTCACACCTTTCCCCAATAGCGTTAGTGCAATAGTGAACGCAACTAACTAGACCGGAAATTGAACCTGGCTCGCCGATTTCGTTCCATTCTTCGAACACCTGTATTATATATATTTCTTTAAATTCATTACAAAACGCTTCATTTAATAAAAAATGAATTAGCACATTGGTGGTATATCTTGACTATTAGATGGGCGCTGATCATTTAAATATTCGATATCACATCGTAAACGAATCTACTAATAGGAAACAAAGATCCTAATTTCCCTCCCGTGTTCAATGTACGATCTTGAGCAGAAAAACAACATCATGTATCAAGTGTTCTAAAGAACAGAACTCAGACCATTCCAAAACAGGAGCTGTGATCTGGAAATGGAATGAAAGCATTAATGGTATCTACTCTAAATCCATCATAAAAATTCAGAATGTGGAATTAGTAAAACCAAAAACTACAAATAACTCGCTGCGTGGATCAGTTATAAGAAATTTAGTATAGGAAAAAAGGAAATTGAACAGAACAATAGACTACACTATGGGTAGTTTCGCCATATACCACCAATTGCTACAAAACGAAAACATTAACCTGAAAACCCGAGTCATATTCTTAAACAGCCTCGTCAGATCGAGGCTTTCACATGGATGTCATGCATGGTGGCAAACCCGTTTTAAAATATCTAAACTTTCAGCTATATACAATCGATTTTTAAGATCAATAGGGAAAAATGATTTCGAACGAATAAAGCCTTTGGACCTTGACGAAGACCATTTTTCTTGAAATCTTGTTGATTAGTGCTACAGAATCATAAACAACGAACTGTACCAAAGAGAAGAAACCAGATCAGTTACGGACTTTCAACAGCAACAACGATTAAAATAGACATGTAATTCGATGTAAAAGCACATGTAATTCTATGACATAATCAACATGTTGACATTGCACTCGACTTCAAATAAAAGGTTAGGAAGGAAACCCCCATCAATACTGGAAAGAGAGATAACATCTACTCTACTTGAAAAACCTATTTTCCTAAAAAAAATGTTTTAAGAGAAAATTTTTATAAATTAGTAGTAATGGCTGGTCAGTTAATATCGAATGTTTCCATATAAGAAAACTGTTAATATTACATTAGCAGTAACATATGAAGGTAATTTTACTGCAATGCTTGGCTTCTCGTTTCTGAATATATCCGTCTGATAGAGTGGCTAATTCCTGTTGCAGACGCCTGCTCAGGCATATTTTTGTTTATTCAACACCCACAGTCACCATATGGTTTAATCTATAAATATTCTGTGCGGGCCTTAGTTACAGTTTATGAGAGGGTCTGCATAATCTGGTGTGAATAATGATTGAACAAGACTAGTGCGCTGAGACACTCAGTCACGATGACTCATGACTTCGTGTTCGCACAATCATCGACAGCTTCCAAACAGTTTCGTTCATCTAATTTCACTCAGAAGGATTGGGTCAAGATTTTCAGGTACTTCCCAGCAGTGCCAAACACTGGAATTGCCTCCCACAGGCCGATAGTGTCAAAATGTCAATAGAGCGATGGTTTTATCAACATTACAATACACTTAACACTAGCGTACTTTCTACTCTTCAAGGCAATTTGCAAAATCCACTTCCGGGATCGCCACCAGCTTCCTCGTCTCCTTCTCTTTAATCATATCCATATTATTTCAGTGGAGATTTTAGCATCGGAAAAAAATTACAAGTCGCTATGTGCTGCTTTGGAATGGGGCTGAAGCTGACAAATTTGGATGATGCAATGTTTCGCTTTACAAAACTCAGTATGATACGTAAATTATCCACTCATTTTGGTCATTATAAATACGACGTATCAAAAACATTCAAATGTTATCCAACGGCTGACTGAGTAACCTCGTTGAGAGTATTCCAACATGACCATTTAGGCCCTTTCAAATACAATGGAATGGACATGAAGTGTTAGAGAAAATGGATGATTCATTCATTTTCTACGGCTCATCAAACCTTTTCAAGATATTTTAAAACCAGACAATATCTTTATATTGTAAGATTTTTGTGGGGGAAATAATGATATGAGTCTTATTAATGTTTAATTGGTAAGAAGTGATAGATTCTTACCTTTCCCGCGTGTATTTGCGCGTAAGTGAATTTAACGAACACGACTGGAATTCGAACTCCGCTATCCGGTTTCCCATTCCGTGCCTTTATCCATTACACTGCACCTCACATCTTAATGCAAATGCATATGCAAAGTAACTTCAAATAAACTCAAACATCATTCAGTTTGGTGAGATATAATTTTACGATTTAACTAACCAACGTTGTTTCATATGCAGATAAATAAACAAAACATATTTATTAAAATATGACTTTATATATATATATAAAATGTCTTAAAATAATTGTCGAACTTTGTCCATTTCAAACACTTTGTCCATTTTCGACACTTTTGTTTCGCCGTTGAATTTGTACTTCTATACATAAAGATTTTTTTCTTAAAGGGTTGTTCGTATATGAATACGTCGTATTGAACTACAATTTTAAAATATTGTTCTTAATTTTAATTACTAATTCTTTTAAAACAAATCAATGTAATAGAATTACTTAAGTTATTTAATAATTATCAAATATAAATGTGTATATTTCATTTATCAGATCTCGTCTCTTCGATTAACAATTCCAAGTTATTTTATCCATTTTACCCGTCCATCCAAGTTTACAGCACCAAGTATTCCTAAATCTTTTATGTACGGACCAGGTTCGATGTTGCTTAACTTTGGCGATCTAGCAGGAATCGATATTTCAACGCAATGTGGCCGGAAGCCAGAGAAAATGGAATCAAAATGGACACTTATACTTAACATTAGAAAGAGAGAAAGTTGAAATTTCTAAGACACATAACGAGAATGATTGGTTGGTTTTGTTTTAGCGGCATATCGACACCTTTATGGGTTATTTAATACCGAAATCAAATTTTTATATAAAAATGTACTGCTGATATTTTTTTTTCTGTGATGTTTACTTGGGATTCACTATTTGCCCATAGCTTAGGTACCCCCTAACAGGTGCTACCACCCCGGGTCAGGGTTGACTTGGGGACAACAGCAATTAAGAGATGGTTCCATGCTCGTCAAAAACTCCAATATCCCGATCAGAGGTCTTGTCACCGGATGTAGTTTATCGTCATACTCAGGACGAACATAATGAGGAACAGGGATTAGGAGAGATAGCGAAAGGACAATATTTACTAAGAGTTACAAAGGACAGGAAATTGTGGAGAGCCATGATTGCTATCATCCCGAACGGACACGGCACATAGAAGAAGAAGAAGAAGAAGAAGAAGAAGAAGAAGAAGAAGAAGAAGAAAGAGATAGTTGATTGGTTATGTACTTATCGCTTCGTGAATGCGGCTTTGTGACAAAAATGGCGTTTAAAAATATTGATTTATTTACTTTGCTTTTTCATTCGTGTTTCTTTTTTGTTATTTCATTTTGAATACACAGCACAAAGAAGTTTGACATAAAAATCCACAAGAAAACTCATATATAAATACGTTAAAATAAATGCCCCATTTACATCAAATTAGATGGTCGTTCTACGCCCACATCGAAGACTGATGACTAGAATAAACAAATAAAAAATAAATAAACGAGCACTATTAATATTAGGCTGATCAAAAGTATGTTCGTTTTTTAATCAACCGAGACTAAATGTTTTTAAAGCTAATATATACTCGTGTATAAGACTACTTCATTTATAGTGCGAATCCTGAATTCTTTTAAAAACCTGAAGATTTTCATATAACTCATGTATAAAACAGCTTCTGAGCAATGATTGTATATAGGAGTTCCGCTCGAGGTTGGATGTTCCCTCGGGGAGGCCGAAAATGGAGCACTGTTCTCATATTTGGGAGGGAGCTTCCCAGTCCTCACTTTCCAGAGATCCAATTGGGATGGGAGCTGCTCGGTCCTCACTTGTCAGAGTTCAAATGCGTCTCCGAGTGTTGGTAAGAATTATTTTCCACCATGTAACCGCTCTCTCACAGGCGAGATGTTGCAATTCTCTTACTGTTCTATCGCTACTTCCATGGAAAGTGCTCGGACGAACTAGATTTATTGGTTCTGCCATGTATAAACTT